AATGCATGTGGACCAGGATGAATGGCGGCTACAGTTTCTCCCGATGTTGCCGCTGCTGCTGCTACTTCTGCTGCGGTTCTTGTATGTTGCGATTCGTGAATATTTTCATGTTGCCGCCGCATGCTGCTATCTGCAGAATCACCTCCACTCATCAGCGGGTAGCCTCGAACTTTCGTGGCCCCCTGCTCTAGCGAGGGATTCAGGGGAGCTGGTGGCCCCTTGTCTTGAGTTGCTTGAGCCTGAAAAGGGTCTTCAAGGGGCCCTCCGATTCTGTAAAAGTGCTCGCTGACCCTCTCGAGTGTGAGTTTCATGTCGCACATGAGTGGGGGCCCCACAGCTGAGGATGCTGCCGCTGCTGCTGTAGAAGAGGCCAGTGGGAAGTAGACATAGTCTGAAGGGGGCCTCTGTCCAGGGTCGTCGGTGAACCAGGTATGGGGCTGTCAAGGACCATCGTGAGACAGGTAGACCATTCCCACCTTGGTGCATCGAAACTGAAGAAAGACTTCGGTTATGCGCCAGCACAATAAGGAGCCAAAAGCTTTGCGCGAAAGAATTTCTTCATGGCAAGAGACTGCGCTTTCTTTGGACGGCAAATGCTCAACAGCAACAAAGCACAACGTAACAAACGAACGATGAAGCGTTATGGATGGACAACCTAAGTAGTTAACTGCTCCCAGCGCTCAAGGCGTCCGAGGCCTTTTTGAATTAATTCCTAAGAAGAAAGGGAAAGCGATATTAACGTGAAAAGATTAATATCGTAGGTGCAAAACGAGAAAACAGCAGGATAGCCAGGCGAGCCAGAGGGAAGACCTCAGTAGAGCGACTCGGCTGGGGCCCCCCTGCCCCATTCGGAGGAGTTGCCTTCATTCGCTGGCGTATGGAAGGATTCGCTCAGAACTTAAGTTGAACCATTTATTACTCAATTTCCAACTATAACTTTTGAATGCATCCTTTTGTGTCCAACAGTCTGCAGCTGCGAGCGCGCCTGCGGCTGCTGGCGTCGAGTGCTGCGGCTGCCTGCTGTGTCTGTACACTGCATGATTAGCGCCTTGCTGTTTGCACTCCATCTTTTGGAGCTGGAATTCAATTAAATGAATCGCCTGTGCGAAATGGATCCAAGAAGATGCCCCCACCCTGCATTTGTCTGTTTCAGCCGCGGCTGTTATTCCCGTATGACGACTACCGGGGGCCCCTGCGCTCTGTAGCGCTGATATGCTTGGGGTTGTGCGCGGAGGTGTTGTGCATGTTTTTTTGTTTCCTTTGGGGGGTTGTCTGCGTTCACCGTAGCTTGTCGGCGGAGCACTGGGCTTTGGTGCCGCTGCCTCTAGTTGTGTTTGACTCGCTGGTAATATCTGGCGGTTTTTGCTGTTTCTTGCGCTCCTATGCGTGGCTTCTTCCCTCAGAGAAGACTCTGCGCATTATTCTTTTGCTCGGTCTGTCCTCTCGCTTTGTTCTCTCCGTCTTGTTTTCCCTGCATATGGTTGGTGTCGTGCCTTTAGGGGCTTTGCTGGGGGCCTCCATCGCAAGCTACTCTGCTGGCACACTGCTAAACATGCGCAGAAATGATGCTTACACCTGGGCACGTCTGCAGTGCTGGGACTTGGTGGTGTTGTTACAGCTGACAACCCTCTGGCTCCAAGACGCCTCCTCACCTCTGCCGAAGTCTCTTTCATCTTTCCTTGCAAACGCATTTGCATGCACATGGCCTCTCTGGCTATTCGCAGCAGGCCACCTATGCTGCTGCCTGATTTTGGGACTGTTGCTGCTGCGAGACACAGTACTGCAGCAGAACACCGTCACACGCGTGTTGGTGCATGTGTCGGAGTTGCATGCAGTTGCTTTCTTGTTGTCGATCGTAGCCTTCTCACAGTGGCTATCTGTACATCTAAATTCGCGGTTCGTTGTATTTGTCTCTGCTGGTGTTGCATCCTTTTTCCTCTTAATGCTTTTTGCGGCCTTTGTTTCCATCTGTTTCATGGCCAACCACACGCGGTCCTTCGGCGACGACGTTGAACAAAGGGGTTCCTCAGAAGGGGGGCCCTTCGCACTGCCCTCTTCTTCTGCAGCAGCAGCGGCAGCATCCTCAGCTGTGGGGCCCCCACTCATGTGCGACATGAAACTCACACTCGAGAGGGTCAGCGAGCACTTTTACAGAATCGGAGGGCCCCTTGAAGACCCTTTTCAGGCTCAAGCAACTCAAGACAAGGGGCCACCAGCTCCCCTGAATCCCTCGCTAGAGCAGGGGGCCACGAAAGTTCGAGGCTACCCGCTGATGAGTGGAGGTGATTCTGCAGATAGCAGCATGCGGCGGCAACATGATTTA